TACTACCTCACAATTGTTAGGATGACTATCATGAAAAAAACAAAAGAAGGTAAATGTTGGTGAGGGTATAGAGAACGTGAACCCTTGCACACTGTTGGTGAGAGTTTAGATTGGTGCAGCCAGTATGAAAATGTGGAGATTTGTAACAAATTAAGATAGAACTACCATATGACACAACAATCCTTCTTCTGAGTGTGGACCCAAAGGAAATGAAGTCAACACCTCATAAATGTATCTGCACTTCTATATTTATTGCAGCATTATTCACAGTAGCCAAGATATGGAGACAATCTAATTGTCAACAGACAAATGGATGAAGAAACGGTGGTGTGTATATATATATATGTATATATATGTGTATATATATATGTGTGTATGTATATATATATGTATATATATGTGTATATATATATGTGTATCTATATATATATGTATACAATTTCTTTATCCATTTCTACATATATACAAAAAATATTATTCAGCCTTATAAAAGTAGGAAATTCTGCTATTTGTCACAGCATCACTGAAATTAGAAGAAATATGTTAAATGAAATAAGTCAAACACAGAAATAAAAATATTGCATGGTCTCATTTATATGTATAATTTTTTAAAAAGTAAAATATAGAGAGATAAAGAATAAAACAGTGGTTACCAGGGGGAGGAAGTGGGTGTGGTTAGGGGTAAAGAAGACATGTATGTCAAAGGATACAAACAAGTAGATATATAGTATGAACAAATCCAGATATGAAATGTACAGTATGCCGTCTGTAGCTTATAAAATTATACTGTATTTGAGACTCATGCTAAATAAATAGGTTAGCTGCTTTTGCTATAAAAACAAAAAAATAAGTAACTATATGAGATGATGAATATGTTAATCCAGTTTGCTATAGTAATCATCTTACTAGATGTATCTCATAACATCATGGTAAATACTAAATACCTTAAATATACACAACTAGTTTTATTCTTTAAAAAACTTGGATTTTATAAATTTATTTTTTAAAGTCAATAAATATTGTTCGTTATTGACAATTTATTATGTAGAATGTATCAGATGCTCAAGATACAGTGGAAGGCTAAATAGACTTGGAGCCTGCCTTAACAAAGTTTAAATTTAGTGATTTAACCTCTCTAACTCTCAGTTTTTTTCACTTACAAATAGATTTCTTAAATTTATTTTTAATTTTTGGGGTACATAGTGGGTGTATATATTTATGGGTTACATGAAATATTTTGATATAGGCATACAATGCATAATAATCACATCAAGGTAAATGTGGTATCCATCACCTCAAGCATCTATCCTTTGTGTTACAAGGTATCCAGTTATGCTCTTATTTATTTTTAAATGTACAATAAAATTATTTTTGATTATAATCACCCTGTTGTCTGAACAAATACTGAGTCTTATTTATTCTTTCTATTTTTTGTACCCCTTAACCATCCCCCTGCTTCTTTTCTAACACCCCACTATACTTGCCAGCTTCTGGTAATCATCTTTCAAGTCTATTTCCATAAGTTCAATTATTTTAAATTTTAGATCCTACAAATAGGTGAAAACATGCTATATTTGCCTTTCTGAGCCTCATTAATGTCATTTAACATAATGACCTCCAGTCCAATCCATGTTGTCGCAAATGATATGATCTAATTCTAGCACAAATGTGAGGTAATTGTGCATGGCAATTGTGAGTTGCATTTCTGATATGGCTCATGGCTTGGCTGTTGTCAATGTATAGGAATGCTAGTAAATTTTGTGTGTTGATTTTGTAACCTGAAACTTTGCTGAAGTTGTTTATCAGCTGAAGGAGCTTTTGGACCAAAACTATGGGGTTTTCGATATATAGAATCATGTCATCTGCAAACAGGGATAGTTTGACTTCCTCCCTTCCTATTTGGATTCCCTTTATTTCTTTCTCTTACCTGATTATCCTGGTCAGGGTTTCTAATACTATGTTGATTAGGACTTGTGAGGGAAGCCATCCTTGTCTTGTGTTGGTTTTCAAGGAGAATGCTTTCAGCCTTTGCCCATTCAGTATGAGGCTGTGGGTTTGTCATAAATGGCTCTCATTATTTTAAGGTATGTTAACAGTTTTTTAACATGAAGGGAGACACAATTTACAATGTTATTGGAAGCCTTTTCTCTATTTATGGAAATAATCATGTGGTTTCTGCCTTTATATCTGTTTATATGATGAATCACATTTTTTTTTTTTTATTTGCGTTTGTTGAACTAACCATGCATCCCAGGCACAAAGCCTACTTCATCATGGTGGATTAGCTCTTTGATATGCTGCTGAATTTTGTTTACCAGTATTTTGCTGATGATTTTTGTATCCATATTCATCAAAGATATTGGCCTGGAATTTTAATTTGTTTGTTGTGTCTCTGCCAGGTTTTTGTATCAGGATGATTTTGGGCTCATAGAATGAATTGGAGAGAATTCCCTCCTCAATCTTGGGGAATAGTTTCAGTAGAAAGGGTATCAGTTCTTCTTTGTACATCCAGCAGAATTTGGCTGTGAATCTATCTGGTCCTGGGCTTGTTTTGGTTGGTAGGAGATATATTACTGATTCAATTTTGGACCTCTTTATTAACCTTTTCAGGAATTCAATTTCTTCCTGGTTTAGTCTTAGAAGGGTACGTGTGTCCAGGAATTAATCCATTTCTTCTAGATTTTCTAGCCTGTGTGGATAGAAGTGTTCGTAGTAGTCTCTGATGGTTATTTGTATTTCTGTGGGGTTGGTGGTAACATCCCCCTTTTCATTTCTAATTTTTTTTAATCTTCTCCCTATTTTCCTTGTCTAGCTAATGGTTTAATCTTACTAATTTTAAAAAAAAAAACACCTCCTGGATTGCTTGGTCTTTTGAAAAAATTTTTAATGTCTCAATCTTCTTCAGTTAAGTTCTAATTTCGGTTATTTTTTGTCTTTGGTTAGCTTTGGGGTGGATTTTCTCTTTCTTCTCTAGCGCGCTTTGTTGTGATGATAGGTTGCTAATTTGAGATCTTTATCACCTTTTGATGTGGGTGTTTAGTGATGTAAATGCCTTATATGTGTCCCAGGGATTCTGGTAAGTTGTGCTTTTGTTCTTTTTGTTTTCAAAAAACTTCTTGATTTCTGTCTTCATTACATTATTTTCCCAAAAGTCATTCAGGAACAAGTTTTAAACTTTCTATGTAATTGTATGTTTTTGAGCGATTTTCTTAGTCTTGTTTTCTATTTTTATTGCACTGTGATTTGAGAATCTCTTTTTTTCTTAGTCTAGCTAAAGTTTTGTTAATTTTGTTTAGCTTTTCAAAAAACCAACCTTTGGCCCGGCATGGTTGCTTATGCCTGTAATCCCAATGCTTTAGGAGGCCAAAGTAAGCAGATTACTTGAGGCCAGGAACTCAAGACCAGCCTGGTTAATGTGTCAAAACCCTGTCTCTACTAAAAATGCAAAAATTAACTGGGTATTGTGGTGGGTGCCTGTAATCCCAGCTACTTTAGGAGGGTGAGGCAGGAGAATAGCTTGAATCTGGGAGGCTGATGGTGCTGTGAGCCAAGATTGTGCCACTGCACTCCAGCCTGGGTAGCAGAGTGAAACCAAGTTTCAAAAAACAAAAAACAAAGAAACAAAACAAAACAAAAAACCTAAGTTTTATGTTATTGGTCTTTTGTATTGTTTTCTTCATTTTAAATTCCTTTTTTGTTGCTCTGTTCTTTATTATTTCTTTATTCTACTAATTTGGGATTTGGTTTCTCCTTATTCTTATAGTTCTTTAAGATTCATCATTAAGTTGTTAATTTGAAGTTTTCTTTTTTCAATGTACTCATTTATAGCTATAAACTTACCTCGTAATACTTCTTTCTCTGTATCCCATAGGTTTTGTTATGTTGTATTTTCATTTTCATATGTTTCAATACATTTTTAAAATTTTTCTCAATTTCTTAATTGATCCGCTGGTCATTCAGAAAGATATTGTTTCATTTCCATGTGTTGGAATGTATAGTGTCCAAAATTTCTTTTGTTTTTGATTTCTATTTTTATTTCATTGTGGTCACAGATGTTTGATAATATTTGTTTCTTGGAATGTCTTAAGACTTGTTTTGTGACCTAATATATGGTCTAACCTTGAGAATGATCCATGTGCTGATGATAAGAATGTGTATTCTGCAACCATTCAATGAAATGTTCTATAAATATCTATTAAGTTCTATAGTCAGATTAAGGCTTATCTTTGTTGGATTTCTGTCTAGAAGATTCTACAAATGCTTAAAGTGAGGTGTTGAAGTCTCCAACTATTATTGTGTTTGGGACCATCTCTCTTTTTAGCTGTCATAATACTTGTTTTCTATATCTGAGTCCTCCAGTTTTGGGTACATACATATTTAAAATTGTGATATCCTATTGCTGAAATGACCCCTTTATCATTATATAATAACCTTCTTTGTCTCTTCAAATGGTTTTTGTGTTGAAATCTATTTTGTTTGATCAAAGTGTAGCTACTCTTGCCCTTTTTTTTGTTTCCATTGGCATGGAACGTCTTTTTCAGTCTATCTGTGTTTTTATAGGTGAAGTGTGTCTCTTATATAGGAAACAGATCACTGGATATTTTTTTTAATCCATTAAGTGTTTTGATATCTTTTTATTGGAGAGTTTAGTCCATTTACATTCATAGTTATTATTGATAATTAAGGGTTACTGCTGCTATTTTGTTATTTGTTTTCTGGTTAATTTTTTTTTTTTTTGAGCAAACAATTTGTTACAATGAACCAGAAATACAAGATTTCACTGAAACTGCAACAGTTGACAATTGGTTGAACTTAAACTTTCAGGGGAAATAAGGGTAAAATAAAGCTAATGAGTGGAAAAGTCCGAGATTGGTTTGGGATAAACATGAGGATAATTACATTTTAGCATGGATATTTTCTGACCTCTTCCAGCACTTCATCCGCCATCATTCTCCATTCTGACACACCTGCCAAATTAAATGGCTTCTTCCTCTATATTGTAGGTATTAACCAACCCTATAGTACCCTTCTGGACATGATACAAAGCCAAGAGAAAGTGTGTAAATCTCATACAAGGGTAGAAATCTAGTATGACTCAACCCAGCATACTGGTTATATGTGGTGTCAATGTACATGGTAGCAACTTTGATCAAATCAGAGCTGCTACCACATGTAAGCAACCTCTTATGCTGCCCTGCAGTGATGTCAATGTTCTCAATTTACTAAATTGTGAATGTGGAAGAATGCACTTTTGAGCTCCAGACTTTCTTAACATTTTAAAGAGGCTATTGAAGAGGATGTAACAGAACCCTACCTCAGAAATCTAAGCATCAGGGAGGAACACTTTTTTTTTTTCTGGGACCTTTCTGTGGGGGCAACAGAGATCAACAAAAGTAATATTAGCATGTCAGAGCATTAAGTGAGGGATGGCAGAGGTAGGAAAAGGGTGTTCTAGCCACAAGGCTAATGCATTTGTGTTCAAAGAGAAGTCTGGGTAAAGGAGGGGAAAATACCCCACCCCTGAAAAAAAAACAAAAAACCAAACAAATCAAAGGACAAAAGGGCTTCATACAATACAGTATCAAAAAGTAAAAGGAACACACTAAATGCACAAGCTGGTGGCAAGTAAGTCCACAGCCTATTGTGATAGGTCCATCCAGCATCAATCAGATTTCTTCTTATCTGTTATTTCAAGGTTATTTACAGACATGTCGACTAATAAGAGTCTCTCACGGGAGGGTGGGCAGGCTTCAATCATTGGTTTCGGGATCTGTCTGTGCCATGTAGGCATCCAACTCAGCATCCAGGTGTCCTTTTGTTTTCGACATGTATGCATCCAATTGGTTGTCCAGCTGCTCCTTGGTCAATACAGGGCGAGCAAGGGCACCTCTCCCTCGTCCACGGCCTCGGCCTCGGCCTCCAAAGCCCCCTCTTCCCCGAACTATCATACCCTGACCTCTACCACCGATTCCGCCACGACCCATAGCTCCACGCCCTAGGCGCCCTCTCCCAGGACCTCCACGACCTCGAACACCACCTCTTCTTAAGCCCATTCGGGGAGCTACGGCTAGTCTACCTCGGAGCGACATCCCGCCCCTAAGCAGGGTTCTGGTGGCACGTCCCCCACGTAGTCCTCCTCTGGGCAAGCCTCTCTGGATTATGGGTAGGCCTCGTCCTCCGATTGCTCCCCTGGCCAGGGCCCCTATGGGTCGGCCTAACCGTGCCTGGATGTTACTCTTACCCAGGCGCTGCTTTAAGCTCTTCTGCTTAAGTTTTAATGCTGCCTGGACAGAGGGTCTATTCTCCATCTGCTGGGCCAGTCTTCTGTTTCTGGCACTGGCTAGCTGCTGTTGTTGCTGCATCGAAGCCCGAATATTCACTGGCGTCGGCTGTTTGTTCTTCAGCATATTAGTAAAGCGCTCATTTAGAGACATCTTGGTGGTGCTTTTTAGCACAACTTTCGGTGCTGACTGTGCAGCCATCTTCAAATCCCGAGAATCGAAGGAAACAGACGCCAGGGTTCCTCCCGGGGCTGCCACCACGGCTCCGGCAGGCGGGCCGGGGACCGGCCGAACCTGAATTGACGGTGGAGGGGCTCGGGTTAGCTAGATGGGCGGTTGATTAGATGCGTAAGCGGTAGTATACGAACTTAGTTTGTTGTTGCTGGTTGGCTGTCTAGTTGGCAAATCCGTCTGCTCACCTGGCCTGCCCTTTCCTGACTTTCGTCTGCAGCGGCCACCAGCTCCGTCTCAGTGTCCAAAACCTGTTTTCTGGTTAATTATGGTCCTCTCTCTCTTCTTTTCTTCCTTTCAGTGAAGGTAAATTTTTTTGATGGTATGATTTAATTTCTTGCTTTTTATTTTTGTGCACCAGTTACATGTTTTTTAATTTGAAGTCACTACAAGGCTTGCAAATACTGTCCTATAACCTTTATTTAAGCTTATAACAACTTAATACTGTTTGCACAAAGAAAAAGAAAACTAATAAAAATTCTATACCTTAACTTTGCCCCTTATTTTTTAACTTTTTGTTGTTTTTATTTTTATCTTATCCTAATGTTTATGTCTTGAAAAGTTCTTGTAGTTATTTTTTTGATTTGCTTATCATTTAGTCTTTCTACTTGAGTAGTTTACACATAACAGTCATAGTGTTTTATTAACATGTGTTTTCCTGTGAACTTATGTGTTACCAGTGAGTTTTGTACCTTAAAATGATTTTCCTTTGTTCATTAATACATTTTTCTTGTGATAGAAGTACTCCCTTTAGCACTTATTGTAGAGCGGGTATGCTGTTGGTGAAATCCTTCAGGTTTTGTTTGTCTGGAAAACATCTTCATATGTTTCCCCTTCATATTTGAAGGAGATTTTTTCCATATATACTATTTTAGCGTGTACATGTTTTTTCTTTCAGCACTTTGAGTATATCATGGCACTTTTTCCTGGCCTGTAAGGTCTCTACTGAAAAGGCTGCTGCCACACATATTAGAGCTCCATTGTATTTGTTCCTTTTCTCTTGCTGTTTATAGGATCCTTCGTTCATTCTTGATCTTTGGAATTTTGATTATTAAATGCCTTGAAGTAGCTTTCTTTGGGTTTAATGTGGTTGGTGTTCTATAACCTTCATATACTAGGATATTAATATTTTTCATTAGGTTTGAGAAGTTCTGTGTTATTATCCCTTTGAATAAACTTTCTATCTCTGTCTCTTTCTCTACCTCCTGTTTAAGGCCAATAACTTCTAGATTTGCCATTTTGAGGCTATTTTCTAGTTTTTGTAGGCATGCTTCATTGTTTTTTATTTTTTTTCTTTTGTCTCCTCTGACTTTATTTTCAAATAGCATGTCTTCTAGCTCACCAGACCTTTCTTCTGCTTGATCAATGGTTATATTAAAAGGCTCTGGTGTATTTTTTAGTATGCCAATTACATTTTTCAGCTCATAGGCTCAGCTTGATTCATTTCAATTATTTCAGTCTCTTTGTTAAATTAATCTGATAGAATTCTGAATTCTTTCTCTGTATTATCTTAAATTTGTTTGAGTTCTCTCAAAACAGTAACTTTGAATTTTTTGTATGAAGGTCACATATCTGTGTTTCTCCAGGATTAGCCCCTGTTGCCTTATTTAGTTTGTTTGGTGAAGTCATATTTTCCTGGATGGTCTTAATGCTTGTGTTTGTCTGTGTCTGGGCATCAAAGAGTTAGGTATTTACTGTAGTCTCTGCAGTGTGGGCTTGTTATTACTTGTCCTTTTTGGGAAGGTTTTCCAGGTGTTTGAAAGGATTTTGATTTCATGATTAAAGTTACATCTGCTTTAGGGGACACCCTAAATCAATAACACTGTGTTTTTTGCAGAGTCATAAAGTTTACTGCCTTGATGGTCTTGGATAAAATCCAATAGAATTCTGTGGATTACCAAACAGAGACTCTTGTTCTCCTCCCTTACTCTTTTCCAAACGGAATCTTTCTCACTGTTCAGAGCTGCCTGGTGCTGGAGGTAAAACGACACAAGCACCCTTGTGGGCACCATTACTGGAACTGTGCTGGGTCAGACATGAATACAGTACAGTACTGGGTCTCACCTGTGGCCCACTATAACTACTACCTGTCTACTGCTTATTTGCACTCAAGGCCATGGGGTTTTACAATCAACAGTTGATGAAGCCAGCCAGGCTTTTATCCTTCCCTTCAGGGTGGTGATTTCTCCCAGGGCCCAGATGGCTCCAGCAGTGCCATCTGGAAGCCAGAGACTGGAATAAAAAAATCCTAAAAGTTGGCCTTGTGTTCTATTGTACTGTGACAGAACTGTCACTCAAACTATAAGACACTGTCCTTCCTACTCTTCCTTCTCCTTTTCTTAGGCAGGGATTCTTACTCTGTAGCCACTGCCATATTAGGCCTACAGGGAGAACTGCCTGGCTACCATTGATGTTCCCGTAAGGCCCAAGGGCTTTTAAGTCAGCTTTTGGTAAATGCTGCCGACCTGGGACTCACTCTTCAGGGCAGTGGGCTCTACTCTTGCCCAAAGAAGGTCCAGAAGATGCTATCCAAAAGTGAAGGTCTGGAATCGGGTATCTCAAGAACCCACTTAGTGCTCTACCCTTCTGTGTCTGAACTGGTAACCAAGGTGCAAGACAAAGTTTCCTTTACTTTTACTGCCATTTTTCTCAAGAAAAGAAATCTCTCCCCATAGCAATTATAGCTGGGAATATGCTAAGTCTCACCTGAAGCCAGATATTCTCAGTCTCACCCAAGGCCAATGGCATGCTATCTCTGTATTGCTGCTGGTTAGTCAGGGCCCAAGGGCTCTTTAGTCAGAAAACGGTGGATCTGGCTGGATCTAAGTCTTTCCCTTCAAGGCAGTAGGCTCTTCTCTGGCCCAGGATGTGTCTGGAAATGTTATTTGGGATCTAGGGCTTGAAAAGGGGGCCTTTTGACTTTGACTGGTGACCTATCCTGATGTAGTTGAGCTAATATCCAAGATGAAAGGCAAAGTCCTCTTACTATTCCCTCTCTTCTCCTCAAGCTGAAGGAAGGAGTCTCTTTTGGAGCGGTGAGTTGTGCAGCCTGCTGTTGGGTAAAGGGTGATAGAAGAACTCCCTTAGTTGCCCAGGCTGATGTCTCAGTAGATTGTGTGACTGTCATGTCCATTGGCTCTCAGCCCAGTTCAGCATTAGGACTTGCAACTTTATTTAGGGCTCCAGATTACTTTAGTCCATGATGACAAGGCTTGCCTGAACTCAGCCTTTGACTACTGGGATGGGTGATTCCCCTCTGTCTAAGGCTGGCTTAAATGCTTAAATACTTTTCCTATAGGTGAGTGTCAGCTCATTTCAGCCTGCTTTTTCTTTCTGTTATGGCAGAGTGGCAATGATTTCAATGCAACATCTCACAATCTCTGTGCTCACCTTCTCCCAAGCACACAGATTCTCTTTCTACATGATGCAGTCATGCTGGGGGATGGAGAAGACATGGGCTTGGGAATTCAAGACTATCTTTCCTACTCTTTTTCAGTGCCTCTTTCAGCAATATAAGTTTAAAACCAGGTACTGTGAGTACTCACTTGATTCTTGGCTCTTGTAAAAGTATTTGTTTGTATATAGATAGTTGTCAAATTGTTATCCTTGTAAGGGACGTGATGATTGGTGGAGCCTCTTATTTGGTCATTTTGCTCTACCTCTCCTCACCTATAAACAGTTTTATAATCTATAAGTCTACATTTTATAATCTATCATCCAGAATTGGTGAAGGATTAGATTATATCGATGTTTTAGGAACATATAGATTATATAGATGTTTTAGGAATATAAAAGTTGGAAATTAATTTTAGTTAGTTTAGCCATTTGGAAGTACATTTAGTTACTTGTAACAGCCAGTAATAGTGGCTTAAATAACCAAATGGTTTATTCTTCTATGAAAAAAAAATCTGAAAGTAGGCTCACTAGTGAGCCATAAAATCATCAATGTCCTAGGTTTCTTCTGATTATCTGCCTTGCCCTTTTTTGATGTGCTCCATCTTTGAGTTGGCTCCATGACTGCAAGAAGGCTTCTAGATGTCCAGCCATCTTATCCACTTTCCAGGAAGAAAGTAGGGGAAGAGAAACGGACAAAAAGGAAGTTTCCCTAGTTGCATAATCTTATTTGAAATTTCTTGTAAAAAGATTGCAGAAGCTTACCCATTGACTTCCATTTTCATACTATCAATCACACCTAACTACAAAGGAGCTCCTTGCCACCTTGAATAAAAACAGATCTGTGTTACTAAAGATGAGAAGAGTGGGTATTGGATGAACTGATAGCAATCTCTGCCAGAGATTCTTTCCCTTCTCATTCTGCAAAACATACCTTTTCCCTCCATTTGATATGTAAAACAATTTTCCAACAGCTAACTAGGGAGATATAAGATATCTACATGGAGAACTATAAATAACTGCTCAAAGAAATCAGAGATGACATAAACAAATGAACAAAACATTCTAGGCTCATGCATAAGAAGAATCAATATCATTAAAATGGCCATATTTTCCAAAGCAATTTATAGGTTCAGTGTTATTCCTGTGAAACTACCATTGAAATTCTTCAGAGAATGAGAAAAAACTATTTGAAATTCATGTAGAGCCAAAATAGAACCCAAATAGTGAAGGCGATCCTAAGCAAAAAGAACAAAGCTGGACATATCATGCTACCCAACTTCAAACTGTACTATGAACTGATAATAACCAACACAACATGGCACTGGTACAAAAACAGAGACAGACCAGTGAAACAGAATAGAGAATCCAGAAATAAGACTGCACATCTACAACAATCTGATCTTAGACAGCCCTCAAAAAAAAAAAAAAAAAGGCAATGGAGAGGGGACTCCCTATTCAATAAATGGTGCTGGGAGAACTGGCTTGGCATGTGCAGAAGATTGAAATGCGACCCTTTCCTTACATCATATAAAAAAATAAACTCAAGATCAATTAAAGGCTTAAATGTAAATCCCAAAACTATAAAAAAAAACCTGAAAGACAATTAGGCAATATCATTTAGGACAGAGGCACAGGCAAATATTTCATGATGGAGATGCCAAAAGCAATTGCAACAAAAGCAAAAATTGATAAATGGGATCTAATTAAACTTAAGAATTTCTACACAGAAAAGGAACTATCAACAGAGTAAGCAGAAAAACTACAGAATGGGAGGCAATTTTTGAAAACTATGCATCCAACAA